TCTTCGTCTTGTTTCTTCGGAATCCATAGTCTTGTGGTGAGGTACTGCAGATAGTCACCCAAAATAACCCAAAGTAGGTCAAAGTAGAAGAGAATTTGAAGTTTTAAGAGGTTTTGAAATGGTTTGTATGGAAAGAAAGTATAAGATTATGGTTCAGTTTCTGGGAATTCTAAAGAGAAGTGAGAGCAAAAACTTGAAATTTCTTGAGAGAAGTAGCAAATTGCGAAACTAATTGAGTAAAGAGAGAGAGTGAGTGTCTTAGCTTGTTGAGGTGGGTTTATAGGCAAATAGATTTGATCCTAGCTCTTCAAACACTCTAGATCTCCACCCTTCATTTGGTCAAGGAGACAAGCTCTCACTGTTTGCAAAAGAATCTTTGATGGCCTTTGGGGAGCAGGATAGATGTGTGGGGCCGAGTAGATTCCAATTCAAATTTGAATTTGAATTGTGTTGACTTCGCACGTGCGATACTCGGCCGACATACTCGGCGCGCGTGTCGAGTACAGTGTTGGGCTTAGTGGGGTTCATCTTACTCGACATCTGATCAAGTGGATCATGTTCTTGGGCTTTAAACAGTGAGGCCCATACTCGACTTTGGGCCGAGTGGTCTGGGCCTGTATGGTCTACTCCTGGGCTTTGATCAATTGAAGCCCAAATTTGGCCTGTCAACCGAGTAGTTTGGTCGAGCATGGCCTGAAAATTCCCCAAAAGTCCTCTCTCTTGAAACACTTAAACAAAAACATTAAAAATAACAAGAAAGCAATATGTACAAGGATAGACAAGGGACTTCCTCCAAAGTGAGGTTGTTTAGAGTCACTAAGCTTGACTGTAACGCTCTCGTCCCGAGTTCATAAAGAGGCCGGTTTATTTTAGGGGAAAACTAGATCATGGTCGAGGAACGGACCAAAATACTTAGTCGGAAGAACGAGAAAGTTCAAGTTGAACCAGCTAGGTGAGCTGGACAAGCTGGATGAACTAGCTAGATAAGCTAGGTGAGCTAAACAAGCTGGAAGACTAGCAAGCTCAGCTAGGTGAGCTGAGCGACAGCTCAACTGAGCTCGGTGAGCTGATTAAGTACTGACCCAGCTTAGTGTTCCCGTCAGCTGACACTCGAGCTGGTGGACTGTGGTAGCTCATGGGTGAAGAGGTGTCTCGACCAAAAGGTGTAAGGTCGAGCGGGTAGCAACGAACGGTTGCAACGCCGAAAGGGTGGATCAGGGCGAGCACTTACGAATGGAAAGATGCAACTCTTCAGAAGGATGCAAGGAACGAATGTGACCTTACGGAAGGATGCAATGAATGGATGTGATGCTTCGGGAAGCATCCATTCGCCCCCTATACAAGGGAGGACCCCCAAGGCCTTTAGGTCATCCCACATCGATCACAACACACCACAACACAATCCAAACCCAGTCCCAACACATCCCGAAGTTGTTGATCGAAAAGGGGGTGCGGCTCGGCGAGTATAACTCGACCGAACTGATGTGCATGCTACCTCCCGATCCAACGGTTCGATGGAGTGTAGAGGATGGATGGGGTAGACTGATCGTCTTAGAGATGAATCGGATCTGGTAGACCGATCGTCGGATCGAATCGGACAAACCGACCGTCGGACAGATCAGATCGGGCAGGACATGGAATGGTGTTTGAGGAAGCACAAGGAGAAGTGCATCCGAACACACCCAAGGGTCGCCCATGGATGCAATCTTACCGGTAAAGGGATAAAGCACCAAGAATGGGTAAGGAACGTGATTCACCATATAGGATCAGTATCACGGCCGCCTTCATGTATCTATCTCCTCAGCTATGGTAAAACCGATCGGAGATCGGTAAGACGAAAGGGTGACTCGACGGATAACCAACGGAAAAGTCTACAGTGGGAACCGATGGACAAAACGGATGTTGGACCCGCGAGCAAACCTAAGGGCCGATGGAAGAAAGATTTCATGGGCTTGCATACGATAATCCGGTGGATGAATCCACGGACCCTTGGGTGTGATAAGGATATCGTTCGGATCGTGTGGATGGATCGATAAGCCGGAAGCTTTACCGACTTGCTAATTTTATTTTTAAACATAAAAAAGAAGACTGCAATTTTTTATTACTGTCTGTATCGTGTTATATAATTTTCGTTTTTTTATCGTCGGATAAAATGTAAAGATCCATCGTGGACCGCACGGGTAAACGGTTAGTAAACCGTGGACGATCGTAGTGTTAAACGACCTGTTCAAAAACATTGATGGTTCGATAAGCCGAGGGCTCAATCGTCCACCATGAAAACGAAGGGGCGTACGTTTGGAGGACGGATGGACCAATAAGCCAAGAGCTTGATTCGGCCATCGTGAACCAAGGGATTTAGACCATAGGAGTTGGTTGGTTATATGGCTAAGTAACGATAGAGATTGGTCCATCAATACACGGTTGATGAAGAATCGTTGAACGATTGGAATAAGATGACAAACGGGAAAGGGAAGGATTAATGGACAGATCAAAGAGGAATCGAATACGCATATTGGCCAAGGTATGTAACGATCTAACTTATTAGTTAAGATAGACGTTTGGGAATTGACCTTGAAAATAGGATAAAGGAATATGCGATTGTTAGGCTTAGAGTGGTTAGCAAACAATATGCATGTCTTGACCGAGTAAAGGATCGATCTAACTCTAAGGGACAAAGACAATAAAACTGGTACAAGGGTTTGTTGGAATTAAACCAAAGTTAGAAAGACTTCCGCTGTGTAATAAGAAATTGATTATAGAATTAAGCCTCATAAAGGCAATTCTATGTTGAATCGCAAAACATAAAGAGCTTCGGCCGGGAAGAGACTCGAACGTGAGTCAATGGTCGCCGGATGCCGAGACGTCAGAGGCGGGGTCTCACATTGACTCTCACAATGTTTAGGTAGAGAAGAGATTGAAGAGAGGAACTAAGAAGTCCTCTGTAGAGTATTCATTGGATATTTCCGGATATTTCCTCAAAGTAGGCTTCCTTCTCATCAGCAGTATAGTCTTCTTCTCCTCAATCAGGTTCCTCAAACCATTCCTCAACTTCAGGTCTTGGATAACCCTTAATCATTTCCTTAAGCTCCAAGATAGTATAGTTAAATTCTTCCATCTTGAGGTCCAACTTTTCAATGGTGTCCTCTTGAGCTTCATACTCCTTCCTGAGCTCCATAAGCTCTCTAGCAATATAATCAACATCCAATAGGTCTCCCTCAGTCTCTACCCTTGAGCTAGGTTCTCCTCTCATCATAGCAGGCTTTTTGGGCTGCTTAGGCTCTCTTACGCAGTGAGTCGGAATGGAGTTTGGAATGAAGTTTTCAAACCCACTCAACAACTCAGCATCTAAATTTCCTACTTCGATGAAGAAAGGCTGCCCTTCTATGGTGGGCTTCTTCATTTTCTTGGAAATGTAAAAGCTCATATGGAGATTCTTACCAAGTTTTAAATCTATCTTCCCCATTTGCACATCAATTAGAGCACCTGCAGTTGGTAGAAATGGTCTCCCAAGAATGAGAGGGTCTTTTGGTTCCTTATCCATCTCTAGAACCACAAAGTCGGTTCGAATCTCATCTGATCCAGTCTTTACCGGTAAGTCTTCTAGCATCCCATGAGACACTCTTACTGATCTATCAGCTAGAATAAGGTGAATGCAGCTAGGCTTGAACTTAGCGAACCCCAATCTCTTTGCAACAGACAAAGGCATCAAACTAACTGAAGCTCCCAAATCACAAAGACTCTTGTTGAACACTAAGGGTCCTGGAAAACCAGGTAGAGTGAAGGAACCTGGATCACCTAGCTTCTTCGGTATCACCTTCCTTTTTATAGTAGCACTGCACTCATAACTCAATTCAACTATTTCCTGAACTTCTTGGGGTCTTTCTATCATCACTTCCTTGTGAGTATCAACCAAGGGTATCTTCTCCTCTAACTCTTTGATGAACATCATCTTATGTTTCTTGAAGATACTTTCTTCAATCTGTGCAATTTTTCCTAGAAATGGCAGTTCAGGTATATAAGGAGGTGGAATAGGGATTGGGTTACTCAGGTCATGTGCTCGTTCAACAAGTCGAGAAAAGAAGTCGAGTTCAATTTCCTGTCTTGATCTAACTCTTAAAACCTCCCCTTCTTGAATCTCACTGTCCTTAGTGACAGAAGTATGAACTATGGAGATAGCATGAGCATATTCCTTTGGGTTTTGAACAGCTTTACCAGGAAGTTGGCCAGGATGCTTAGGAGCTGAAGTAGAAGCAATGTGTCCCTCCATGCTCTTGACTCTAGTGTTAAGCGTGTCGATCTTGATGTTCAAGTCGTTATAAGAGCAGGCAATCCTAGTGGTGAGCTCAGCCAACTTCTTATCCATGGTCATGGAACTTGAGGCTTGTCCTTGCATAAGTTGTCGAAGTAGAGACTTCATCTCTGAGTCTTGTGCAGAAGTAGTCTGTGATTGCTGAGTGAAACCAGGAGGTCCAAAGTTCTGCTTTTGGTTGTAGCCTTGGTTGTAGGGTACAAAAGGCTTAGCTTGAGTCAGTTGGTTCTGTTGAGGGTAGACTTGATCTTGTGGGTTGGCCACATTGTTGCTTCTATAAGAGAGATTAGGATGAGGGGGCTTGTAGTTGTTAAAACCTTTGTTGTAGCCACCTTGATTCTGTAGGTATTTGACCTCCTCAATAGTCAGATTCTCCCCATCGTGGATTTGGGTATGCTGTTCCTCTGAAATGAAGTGAACAATTCTCTTCTGAGCAAGCACCAACTTGTCAATCTTATCATTCAGAGCTTTGATCTCCCTCTTGTGCTTTTCTTCAGAATCGCTGCCTCCCCTATTAGAGCAATCATAGTCTTCATTGTAATTCCCATCAAATTGAGCTAGGTTTTCAACAATTTCCCAACGTTCAGCTACATCCTTGTTAAGAAAGTTGTCATTAGAAGCAGTATCCAAAAGCATCCTTATCTTGGGCAATGCTCCTCTGTATAGAGTACTAAGAAGTGAAGCTTTCTTGAAACCATTGTGAGGGCATTGAGTAGTATAGCCCTTAAAGTGTTCCCATGCTTCAGAGAATGACTCGGAATTCTTCTATGTGAATTGATGCGTGTTTTATTTTGCCTCAGGCTTTTACCTGAAAGACCACACGACTACTGCAAGTGCACAGTATATTGGAGTAGTATTTGAGGATCGAATCCACAGGGAGTATAGCTACAAGGAAGAATTCAAGTTAGGTAACCTGGATCAAGACAAACGAAAGAATGGGGGTTGTTGTATGCAGTGAAAATAAGTAAATAATGCAGTAAAGGAAAGAAAGCAGTAAAAGGAAACTAAGAAAAGGCAATAAAGTAAATGTCAATAAGAAGAGTGGTGCAAAATAAGTAAAACAAAACGCTAGGTCATCGGGGGTTTTCTCCGGGCGTCCACGGTTCAATAATAGGGTATAGATCTCAATCTAGGTGATAACATGGATAGGTTTGTTTACTTCCAAATTCTCGAAGATATGAAACTCTATCAAGACCAGCTAACCCTAACAGCTAGTAGGTGAAAACCGGTTATTATCACTAGTATATTGCGTACTCAGTTGCCCTATCGGCTAGTATGTGCTAACATGGTTTCAAAATACAAGATCAAAGCATTAAGTACAAATTCGATTCTAGTTCATAAGTCCCTATCACTCGGCGGGCATGCAACGCTTATAATTTTTTATTCAGTTGAGTTAGGTCAAGCATTCAAACGAGATTTTGCCAAAGAATGAAATACCTAAGGGCAAGTACTAGGTGGCGTTCCGGACATATAATCATTAAGAATAAACTCAACTAGAAGGAATAGTGTAAACGATCAAACAAAGCCATAGAAACGGCCAACCTAGATCTTCGATCTATTGGTCCCTATGGATTTGCCCTTTGAAACCCCCCTAAAACCTAACTAGGGATCTACTCACACATACTCAAGGAACACAACATCATATGAATGAGAGATTGCATAAAAAGAGTATAAGTATAGAAAAGGGTTTAGAGATCTTCTCTGAAAATCCAAAGCTTGATAATATTCTTCCTTTTACAAGTAGAGAATAGAGAATTGAAGAGAAAATAGATAGATCTAATGAAGAACAAGAGGAGGAGGACTTTAGGGTGGTGGGAGACGCAGGAGGCTGCCTCTTTTTGTGGGTGTCTTCTAGGGTTTCCCTTAGACTTGTATTTATAGGTCTTCATTAGGTCAAATGGTAGAAACGTATTTCCGTTTATTAGTAAGTGATGGGTCAAGCTTCTGGGCTTTTAGGGTTGCTGGAAGTCGACGGCAAGAGGAAGGGAAGGAGTGGTTGTGCGTCCTAGTGGTTGGTGAAAGACTCGAGGGGACGCCCGGGTTCAAGTCACCTTGGCCGGCGGTTTTAAATTGAACATTTTCAAAACCCCGATTTTAGGACATGTCTTTACTCTTTGCGCCATAACTTCTGAACGGATTCATGGATTGCTTCGATTCGACTTCGACATTAATCTTGACTTTTCGAGATTTTCAATGACACCAAGATACCTTCATGCCAAGGTCGGTAAGACCTTTGCCAGATGTGAAACATCTGAGGCACCGAAACTGTTCTGAAACGGATTTTGGGTGACTTCTACTCGTTTTTGCATGAAAACTCATAATTCTTCTTTGAAGCTCAAATACTTGAAATATGCCTTGAAGTGTCCTTTAACTCTTGATTTGTCCATGGAAAACCTAATAAAAACATAGTAAAAGTGGGCGAAAATACGATGCTATCATGAATCCTGAAATCTCATTCCTCAATCTAGCTGTTCTTGAGAGAAGAACTTAGCTAGGAAAGCCTTCTCACAATCATCCCAAGTGTCTATAGATTCAACAGACAAAGTCTTTTCCCAAAGATGAGCTTTATCTCCATGTGAGAAAGGGAATAACCTGAGCTTGAAGTTGTCCTCACTAACTCCATTAATCTTGGTTAGACTAAAGAGTCTATGAAAATTATCAAGATGATCCAATGGGTCCTCCATTGGCACTCCATGAAACATGTTGCCTTGAATCATAGAGATAAGACCACTCTTGATCTCAAAGTTGTTGTTCTGAATAGGAGGCGGGACAATACCATTTGAAAGTTGTGTGTCAATCCCCGAAATGCATCTTATGTCATTGTAGCATTTAAAGTGTCAATCCAATTGGGTGGAATTGCTAACAATTAGGATGTGATCAGAGAATACTAAGTCAAGCCAAGTGTGAATAGGTTTGGTGTGTTTCTACTAAACCTAAGCAATAGGTTAACATGCAAATAAAATTCAGAAATGAAACGATACTAAGCAGAAGGTAAAGAACACAAGTGATAAAAGCAGAAATGAAACTAACAACCAGGAACTCTCAAATGCAAGAACTAGAAAGTGAACCAAACACAAAGAGAAGTACTCGGCCGAGCATACTACTAAAACAGGTCGAGTAGAATACTAAAAACACCAATTTTGCACAAGAACTAAACAGAACGACCAGAATGCTAAAGGCACGAGTTTTGCACAATAAAATAAAACATAGCTCTTAAGAATGGGGTAATTGGTTCTAGTGGACTCCTCAATCCATTAGCTAACTAACAAACTCAATCAAGCTATCCCTAGACAATAGATTCAAAACCAGATCAATCCACTTTCATGACAATGATCCTCATAACTTTACCACTTCCTATTCTCAATTTTCATTGATGAAACATAGCAAAGCAGGCTTTAAACACCAATCTACTAAAGTCAATAAGCAGTCTAAACATCCAATGTCTGGGGCTAAAATCTACAATTCTCTGAAATTAGTTGGTTTAGACATTTCATCAAGCACTTGTTAGGTGGAGAATTCTGAAATCAATTTTCAATTGATCATAAAGAAAATAGCATGCATTTATAAACTTAGCCAGCTAAAGAACAGAGGAATCCACCTATACCTAACCCATCCTCAAGAACTCTGAAGAAGACTACTCAAGAACAATGAAGAACATCATAGAACAAAACTAAAAAAATCATAAAACCCAGAAATCATTATAAACTTAGCAAATGATAGATTTCCATAAGATAAACAAGTTTGCAGAAGAAATGAAATTCAGATTCTCGACAAAACAACCAGAAAATGCAAAAGAAATCTACGAACCTTAATATCCAGCAGACAAAGCAAAGATATTTTGGGCAAAAACATAAGAGGTCTATTTATAGGCAATACTAGGATGCCCTAATTAGGAAAAAGACAAAATAGGAAAGTCAGCGCAGCACTACTTGGGTCTCGGCCGAGTAGAAAAGTCGAGCAGCTTCCCTTGGTCACATCACTCGGCTTCAAGCCGAGTAGTTTCAATCGAGCAGCTTCTCTTCTTCATCATGTGCTCCACTCAGACCTACAGCCGAGTGGTTTGGTCGAGTATAGTCCTTGCCTCTCCCTTGTGTGCTCCACTCGATCTCCAACCGAGTAGATACCCCGAGTATACTCCATGTCCTTCCTTTGATCGCACGAACTCGAGCTAGTCCACTCCTTGTGCTAGAAACGCCCAAGTTGAGTCCAAAAGTACCTAATTCACCTGTAAAACACTCCAAATGCAGGTATGCTATGCAATGCAATGCAAAATGTGAAAAAGAAGGAAAATGGACTAAGAATGCATGAAAAGAGACATGAAACTAAGTTTAATGCATGAAAAAGAAGGGCTTAAAATGGTTAAGATCTAATGTTATCAGAATCTGACATCCACACCAGGTGTTAAGTTTTGATAAATATATACAAAACTTTGGTTTTTGAAAGATATAGTACCATGAAATTTTAATTGTATTTCGAGTAAATTTTTTTGGTTTGTTAATAATATGGTTTTGTCAATTTTTAATACGAATTTATTATAATATATGTATGTTGTTAAGGGTTGTAGCAAACGCTTGAAATGTTAGATTTATTGATTCTAGTATTTAATATATTTTTTATGGATGTGAATTTAGTGTTTGGATGGAATTTTATATTTAAATTTTGGATAGTACTATATATTATAATTTATGTTTATTAAGTGTAGAAGATAATATTTTGATTACATGGAATAATTTTTTAATAATGAAGAAATTATGTAATCCTACTAATTATAATTTAAATTTAAACTGAAAATTTCTATTTCTGTATTATAATGCTACACATAAAAACTAAATATGTGATTTACATTTGTAAAAATCTTTTATTCGGTAACCTTTTCAAAAACAATAGAAAATAAAGACTAAAAAGACACATGCTCTTGGGAAAAACCAAAAAACTACAATCAATCACACCATTTTTCAACATTGAGCTTGCTTGACTGAATCACTATTATCACTAACCATGCTTGAGCTATCATTTACTTTTATTTTCAATTCTAAGCAGGATGAACATCGAAGATTACATATATTATGAAGATTGGAATTAAAATGGTATCAATAAGAGTTTTGTCGGGAATTCAAGAAGATGTTTGGTCATCAACAGATTTAACAATACCAAAGGTACACAATCGTGATTTTCTATTCCTTAATCAAATAACTTAGCATGGGTTATCGATTGAATATCAAACATAATTTCAATTTTGTTGTAGACCTAATTTATTTACAAATTTTGATTCCAGAGATTCTCTGAGTCACAAAGAAACCTGACTACCGTTGAGGCAAAATTATTAAGCTTACTCGATTGATTGGAATAACTACCATGGGTATATTGAAGAATCTGTTTCCTACTCAATACAAAGATACAACTCAATGAAAAGGTATATATGTGAGTTCTTGATCAGTTCTACAGTTAATTTAAATACATATAACTAAGTTTAATTCATTTAAATTAGAAGGTGTGATTCAAGTTTTCAATATACGATCTAAGTAAATCTTTCAATATTTTTGTTCTTGGGTCATTCGAAGACCTCTATATCGATGGTGCTTGCAGTCATAGAATGGATTTGATTCTTCACCAATATGTCACACAACAACAATCCTGAAAAAGGTATATTCTTGTTAATCTATAGATCCGGAATGTCTGCATTCGTGTAATATGGTTGATATATCTATAATACAAGTAACATGATTGTAGAATCTGCATTTGATAGTGTAAAACTCTTAGATTGCAGAAACATACGTTCAACCGA